GGTCACTACCCTCCTGCCTGTACCATTTGATTCCCTGGCCCAGTGGCATTATCTCACTTTTTAAACTCTGCAATGGCTTACTTCTAAGAAAGTGGAACTTACCCCTAAGAGTCTATTGGTTCCCTGAGCTAACTCCTGATTGGTCCATTTCTCTCACTCCTAATTGGTTGATTTCTTTCACTCCTGATTGGTCCAGTTCTCTCACTCCTGATTGGTCCATTTCAAGAAAGCTTGTTCCTAATTAGTCAACTTTGTTATACCTTATTTACATATGATGTTGCAAAATGTTGCAAAGTCTAGGCTGGTAGCCTATAAAAGCCTGTGTAAACCTACAGACGGGATCCAGAGCTTGGAGTGATAACTCCTCTCAGCCCACTGGTTTAATAAACCTGAGTTGTCCAACCCTCCGAGTGCTGCTTGGTCTGTCGCCTGGATCCAGGTTGCTGTCATAACTGATCTATAACGCTGAGCTGTAACACACTTTGCTACAGTAATACTGCTATTTTTCAAACAGTTAATAATTCCTCGTATTGTGTCCCCAGCTGGAATGCTCTGCCCTAATATCTCCTTATTATCTTCTCTGCCCAATCACCAACAAAATTCTTTTGGCTTGACAGTTTATGCTTCTTTTTTAAAAAAATATATAAAAATGTTTCCAACTTTACTGAGGTATAATTGACAAATAAAAATTATATGTATTTAGTTTGTACAATGTGATTTTTAAAGGTGTACAATGTGATGATTTAATACATGTATGCATTGTGAAATGATTACCACAATCAAATTAATTAATACGTCTATCGCCTCCTGTAGTTACCTTTTTGTGTGTGTGTGGTGAGAACACTTAGGATCTGCTCTCTTAGCAAATTTATGGAATACAGCACTATTAACTATAATCACCATGCTGTACATTAGATTTCCAGATCTTATTCATCTTATAAATGAAAGTTTGTATCCTTTATTTGCTTTGGTGTCACCTCCTCCAGGAAATCCTCCCATTCCTTTCTTTTATGTATCCAATTTATACCTTTATCATAGTCTGTATTGTGCTGTTTATAAATTGTTTATGTATATTTCTCCCTGAGGAGGCTGTAAACTCCTTGAGGACAAGGAACTATTGCTTTGGAGGGTTTGTATAAAAATCAAGGGAGTCAGTACTAGGAACAAAACAACCCATTAATCTGATAGGAAAACAGTAATCTGAGAAGTGACTTTAATTCTTCTGAAAAAATTTAAATCTCAGCCATAGGGAGAGTCAAGCCAGTGGGCAATTCTGAAACAGGAAGAAGAGTGAGAGAACTATTCACTTGAATAAGACTTAAACAACTTATTCATTTAAGCTATGAAAACAAATCCTTATAGAGATGAAGATACTTATATCCAATGTGTCTAAACTGAATTTACACAACTAGGAAAAATAAATGAACAGAGTAAGAGAAGTAGATTCTGAAAAGGAAGAAAATACTTACCTTTGTATTCCTGTTATGC